GGAAAGCTGTGTCAAGGTGTACGCATGTTCTCTGCCTGGAGAGAATATAGCAGCTGTGCGGGATGTGCAGGCACTGCCCATCTCACTGTAGGTTGTGTTGGCACAGTTAGCCAAAAGTGTTCATTGGCATTTGGAAGAACTGCCTTTTGGCAATTGAGGTGGCAGATGTGCACAGAAAGGCCATGCAGTTCTGAGTTTGGCCACTTGTCCATGGCCACAAATTGAGCTTCACAGTCCAGAGCAGGAATTTGAAGCTGGATCTCTCCCACTGCCTGCTATACCACAAAATGCCAGAGGGGTATCAAGAAGGAAAGCCCCATGTAATGTTAACTCTTGCTGTTTTGCATTTCAGTATCTGTCTGGCTATTACTGGGCACTGTTTGATGGTCATGGTGGTCCAGAAGCGGCAATTATGGCTTCCAACTACCTGCACTATTGTATCAAGCAGAAACTAGAGGCTGTGGTGGGGGGCATTACTGAAGACCGTCCCCCAATGCACCTCAATGGACAGTGTGTTTGCCAAAGTGACCCACACTTTGTGGAAGAAAAGCAAATCCATCAGGAAGATGTTGTCATTGGAGCTTTGGAGCAAGCCTTTCAGGAATGTGTGAGTGACCTTGCTTCATTGTTTTCCCAAAGAACATGATGTGCTCAAGATAAAATTACTCATAAGCCACATAGATGTGTCTAGGCATTGTCTGTGTCCATGTACCTGTGAAAGAATAGTGCCGCACTCTGCCCAGTTGGATGTGTATTCATGATTCAGTCCATTTTCTGTGCAGTTGAGTGTTGGACGCAAAATTCAGGAATTCATGTTTCTTCTTTACACGTGTATAATTGTCTTGATCACGACAATATTGGTGTCTATCTTTTCATAATCCACCAGTTCAAACTGAAGTTTTTTCATGTGATTGTGTATCAAAAACACAGATGTATAAAGAAACATAAACGGTGTTTGTGTAAACAAGCTTTAAGTGTATTGATGACAAATAGCCATTTGACTTGACTGATCATTAAGATTTCTAACAATGTTAGTGAAATCAGACATCAGCCTTTGCTGAGAAATATGTCAGCTGCCTTTAATAATCAAATGCTTTACCAACAGGATGAAATAATTGGTCAGGAGATGGAAGCTGCCAACCAATCAGGAGGCTGCACAGCCCTAGTTGCACTTTATCTTCAGGGAAAGCTTTATGTGGCAAATGCGGGTGACAGCAGGTTAGTCAAAGGTCCATCATTTTGGTTTTTAGCTCTGAAGTATCTATTTGGCTAAAACAAGTCCGATATTCAGTTAAAGTCATAGACCTCAACTATCTATTTGGCTAAAACAAGTCCGATATTCATAGACCTCAACTAGATGTAGTTATGCTACTGATTAACTACTTGGAAGCCTTCATGCATAAGTTTTGAGCAAATGTTTTCTTATAGATGTGTTACTATGAATCTTGGTAGAAATAGGGACTTACCAGGAAACCATGGTAAATTTCCAGTAACGGAAGGAGAGGTGGTATTTTTGCTGATTCATCCCTTGTGGTTTTTCCATAAGAGTACCATATCCCAAAGCAATATTTTGGGCTTCCGGGGGGGAGGGAGAGTCCCATTATGCAGATGGAAATTACTCCCATTCATAGAGATGTCACAGGATCCAAGCACTGTACATATAATGGAGACATAATGCCCACTAAAATTGTGGTCAGGCATGATGAAATGCTCACCTAAAGCTACTTTGTCCGTTTGTTGTATGTGCATGTACATACAAGTCTAATGTTTTCATTTTGGTTTCTAAAATGTCATTTGTGGTTCATTTAATGTGTTGTTCATTGGCTTCGATGGTGAAAACATTTCTGATATAACTTCATTTTTCATCTAACTGGAATGAATTTTTCAGGGATTATCAATACCATCTTAAATGGAGTTACATTTTCCTAAGGCCAGTGACTTCGAAGGAAAGCAGGGCTTACGATAGCACTGTGTATCTCTCAGCCAAGAGGCCATCCCTTTCAGGTAGATGGTAGAAAGAGATACCATTTTATAAGCAGTTAAAGTCTCACTCACAGAGCAGGTAGGGACAGACATTCTTCACCCCTGGAAGACAGTTGCTATTGCACAGGTAGCATGGTGGAAAGGTCACAGGATTTTTTTTTGGGGGGGGGGAGTATATATTGGTGTGTGTGTGTGAATGTGTTTGTGAGCCTGGAAGTCATAGTGACTTCTGGTGACCCCTTGTGGGGCTAGGACGTTTCAGAGAGGTGGTTTGATTAGTCTGCCTCTGTATCCTGCTTCTGGTATTCCTTCTAAGTACTTGCCAGGGTCGGCCCTGCTTAGCTTCCGAGATCTGATGAGATCGGTCTTGCCTGAGCTATCCAGGTCAGGGCACTCACAGACATTCTTCTTTAACGGCCCTAGGTTCTGACTTGGGGCTGCTGTGGCACCTCAGTACCCTTATTCAGCTTTTTCTCTCCCACACCAAAAAGCCAACGCTGACGCTCTGCAGTGGAGTGCTGCAAAAAAGACCCATAAAAGTACCTCTTAGCCCTCCGTAACCTATCTCTCTGTCTTCCCCGGGCTAAAAGGACTACCAGCCCTGCACTGCTCTTAGGCACAACTACTTGTTCTTTGCTTACTATTCAAACCACAGGTTGAATTATGTGGTAGAGAACAAACAATGGGAGGGGGGGGAGTGCTCAGTGGAAATCACTTCAAGTGTGTGTGCAATGCCGTGAGAAGGAGACCCGGAAAATCTGACTCTTAAAGTGCATACCTTTGGGCAGTATGAATAATACGAGAAATATACTTCTGTGGCCTCCACATAATAACACTAATGCACAAGATACAGTGGCACGGACTACAGAATTATAAGGAACAAACAAGTCTAAGGGGATGGGTGAGAGAAATGCTACATTTTGACATAGTAAGTAGACACTCAGTTGGCAAAGCATCGGAATCTGTAAATGTACAGTCTGTATGAAAACAAGGCAAAGTATTTAGGGTGAACTGCTGCATATACAGAATCCAGAAAGTCTTTTCCACATCAGCAGCAGCTGGTGAAAACTATGGAGGGGGGGGGGACAAAAAAACCTCTTCTGTGCTGAGATGTCCTGTCTGTTCTAAAAAGGCTTCACTTCCTGTTCATCTGACTTTCTCCCCCCACCCTCTGATTCTGAATTCTCAGTTAGGCAGCTGGGTGCCAGGGAAATCAGTATTAAGCAATAATGTTAGTTTACATAAGACTGACTTCTGCAAACTTGGGGAAAACCCAGGTGGAAAGAACAAGGAAAAAAGCGAAAGAGGCCTTACCCGCCCCCAGCAACATCTGTATGTCTCCTGATGTGGGGAGAAGAATTCCAGGTGGTATTTTGGGTTGCCATTTTAACTGATGCTATGGTGTGTGTGTATATGGGGGAACTCAGGAGCAGGGAGAGGGGCTGTAGCTCAGTGGCAAAGCATCTGCTTGGTATGCAGAAGGTCCCAGGTTCTATCCCCGCCATCTCCAGTTAAAAGGATCAGGTAGGAGGTGATGTGGAAGACCTCAGCCTGAGACCCTGGAGAGCTTTTGCCAGTCTGAGTGGACAATGCTGACTTTGATGGACCAAGGGTCTGATTCAGTATAAGGCAGCTTCATGTGTTCATGAGAGGTGACAATAAAGGAGACTTTGTGGGGGCTTCGGGGGGGAATAAGATTAGGGTGACAAAGAAAACAGTAAGCAGGTGGGATAGCAGTCAGAGAGAGGGAAGACCAGGCCAGGTGGGCAGGGATGGACAGGAATGGAGATCAGAAGCAAGGGAGATTGGAGGGGATGGAGGTCTCATTCTTGGTTTTGTTTTTCATTAGTTAATAAAGACATTACATACATAGTAATATGACAATATTCTTGGACTGGCCAAAGACACCCCCCCAGCCAGATATGTGCAGTGCACATCCACATGTTGCCTACGACACTTATTCCCATATCTGAAAAAAATATGCTGACAAAAGCCCACCTGCAAATAACATCAGTTCTTTTTGTTTCAGGGCACTTCTTGTTAGAAAACACAGCATTGTTCCTTTAAGTACTGAATTCACTCCTGAGACAGAGAGGCAAAGAATCCAGCACCTGGTAAGAGAATGTTCTGTTTATTTTGTAAAGGTTCTTCCAGTTCTTTTGTATTTTTCTGATCCATGCTTTCTTGTGAGTAGTTTACTTGTATCCTGGTGTGTGTATTTCTCCTGGTATATGTTTTCTAAGTAGAGTCTCTATTTGTTTTTCATCACTAATGGGTAGTGGGTCCCCCCCCCCCTGTGCTGTTTTACTCCCCATGCTCAGTCATTAGCAGAAACTCTTTCAGTACCATGGAGTAGGTCAGTTACAAAATATTGTGCCTTCATTTGTGTTGTGCAGACCTTAAATTTCTCTTTTCGTTCTCAGGCTTTCATATACCCAAAGCTACTAGCTGACGAATTCACCCGGTTCGAATTTCCAAGGAGATTGAAAGGAGATGATGTGGGTCAGAAAGTTTTGTACCGGGATTACTCTATGCAAGGCTGGTGAGTAAATTGAGCCTCTTGGCCTTGGTCTAGGACTGCCCTGGATTAGGAATATTTCAGCATTATTTCAATTGGCAAGCAATTATCTCTTACTTGCAAGTTGTTCCATGTCCTTGCTCAGGAAGTCACCCACCCTTCCTTGCCTTATTTGCCGCTCCCCATCTACACTGGCAACCACTCTCTGTACCTCTAACCCAGCCATGTTGCTAGGCTGGGAATCCTGTTGGGGGGGGGGGCTGAGAGTATTTCTAAGACTGTGCTTTTCTCTGCCCCTCTGTGGCTATGGGCCTGGTGAAAAGAGCACCTAGAATTCAGGAAACCCTAATAGCAGTGGCTGGGGCATACGGTGGCTACCTTTTTGCTCTCTTCCTGTCTGCCTCTCTGCAATATGTATACCACTCAGAGCAAAACTCCATACCTCAGTCTAAGAATCATATACAGTATGTGTGCTTTATTTGTAACTGCTTCCACAGGAAAAAAAAGTGTTGGTGTCTAGAGCAAGAAGTCTTCTGGCCTCCTTCAGACCTGTTTTAGGACACAAGGCTGCTATGTCAGGAACAGAGCAATTTCACTGTTGTCGATGAATGTAGAAGAGGGCCTCCACAGGTTGCATATTTAGGTGTGCTACAGATTTAATGTTTTGGCTTGCATCGGGATCCTTTTTGTGAATGGCGGAGTAGTAGGCAGTCGTTTTAGTTGTGTCGCAGGAATAATAAACAGGACTGTTACAATGGTTTAAAGATTAGCAAATTTTTATTCTAGCATAATCATGCATTTGATGAAAAGGACTCTAGTATACAAAAACCTACGCTTGAATGAAAATTTGCTGTCTCTTAAGGTGTTAAAGACTCCTGTTTGTTTTTGTGAATGTTATCTTACCCAGAGAAGTGAATGCAGTAATGCTTTAAAGCAGTGCTGTGTGAAATGTCTCTGAGGCAAAGACTATGGTCACAATCCCACATAGTTTTATTTTTATTAAAATATGTATATGTATTCTACTTTTCAATTTGATCTAAATCAAAAACACAGCTAGCAACAAATAAGGGGGGGGGGTCGCACCAACTGAAACTGACTGTTGCCCTGCAAGAGCCTTACGCAGCATCTATAAGGCTGTGGACTATAACTATACGCTGGGCTGTACAATAAGTGTGCCAGGGTATTGGACTGTGCAGTAGCCCGATGATGGTGCCAACCTCCCAGACTGTAGACACATGCCCAGCCGAGGGAAGCCTTGCCCTGAAGCAGTGTGCCAGCCAGACGTGGACCTGTGGACATACCTGATGCCCTTCGCTCCTGCATCCCTGCAGGAGGCAAATCAACCTCCCTGGCGCCAGAAGCACGCAGCAGCCAGCAGCAGTTCTCTATGAAGAAGCCATGCTTCACATAAGAAGCCTTGAGTGTTCCTGCAAAGGACTCCATAGAAGGCACCCTTCCCCCCCCCTTCTTCTAGCCTCACCAAGGACTGCACATACTCATCCTCAAGTTAAACAATACAACCTGGCCGTGATGGGATTAACAGGGTGGCCAAAGACACCCACCACCCATCAAGATAACACAGCTGTAGATCGTCGGATCGTTGACTCTTAACGGCTGGCCAAGCACCTGGAATGACTGTCTTATCTTTTCCTTTTTCTTACGCCATCCACTGTAAGAGGTGTCACTGTTAGTAGACATTATATCAATTGCCCAACACTAAAGTCCATTTTCTTGACCCATTAAGGAACTGGCATTTTCTAGCATCTTCCTGGGGACTATGTGTCTTGGTGGCTCACGCCCCAAGCCCCTCATAGGGTAGATAAGAAGAGCATCTGCCCATTGCTTGCTCTCTCTCTTTCCTACCTACCTGACCCCACCCTGTCTTGCTGACTCCATTCGTAGTGCCGTCTGGAGTCTACCACGTGTGCTGCTGGTCAACACCAGATCCCTTCCCTAGTATTTTCCCTATTTTTGCTGCAGGATCACCTTGTTACATCAGACAAGTAAAGTATCACCCCAGTCAATGATAACTTCCTGCTAATGCAACTGTCACTGTACTTTTCTATCTAAATTCTTAGTTCTGTATTGCTTGAGTGTGTGATTGTTTTATTTTATATCGTAAGTGGGAGAGAATTAGTAAAAGAAATCATTTTATTTAAGATCTAATCTCTGTGTCTATTTCTGGGGATCTGGATAAATTGGACTTTGGTATACACAGGTTCTAGGGGCTGCGGTGGCTCAAGTGGTTAAGACACTGAACTGCAGGCTGTGGAAGATCAGTAGTTCAGCAGTTCGAGACCCATGTGCCGCATGACGGAGTGAGCTCCCGTCTCTGGCCTCAGCTCCTGCCAACCTTGCAGTTCGAAAGCAAGAAATTGCAAGTAGATAAATAGGTACCGCTTCGGTGGGAAGGTAACAGCGTTCCATGCACCTTGGCATCTAGTCATGCCGGCCACATGACCACGGAAATGTCTTTGGACAGTGCTGGCTCTTTGGCTTGGAAACGGAGATGAGCACCGCATCCCTAGAGTCAGATTCGATTGGCTTTCGAGCAAGGGAAACCTTTACCTTTACCTTATACACAGGTTATTGCTCCCTTATTTAAGCCATTGCCATTTAATATTCAAATTCCCCACATTTATTAATAAAAAAAGGCAATTTGGCGAACACTGACAAAATATAAGCATCAGCAAATAACCAGCCTCAGAAACCTTGAGAAAATGGCAGCAGCAGATAGATCAAACTAAAACTTACAGAAGGGTCTCTTAAAGAGCATGACCTTAACCTGATGCCTAAACTCTTGCCTAAAAAGTGCAAATGAATTTCTCTTGGAGGAATTTCCAGCACATTAGCAGCACTGTTGAAAAGGTCCTTTCACCACTCAGTGGAAATCTGACGTTTTATTGAGGATTGGGCTTACAGAGACATGTGATTGAAGAAGATCTTCATGTGTGAATAGATTCAGGTGGGAGCAAGTAGTGCTTTACAACTTGAATCCAGGCCATGATGGACTTCAGTTCAAAGGCTAAGAACAGGCATTTTAATTTGAGCCTCAAGATAAACTTGCAGCCAATTAAATTACCATCAAAATAGATTAATATCCGTGTCAGTGGTCCTAGTTAAAAGTAATCTAATCTAAGTGGGGGTAAAGCATGAATTACTGTGGCCAGATTGTTGGTCTCCAGGAGAATGTACAGGTACTGAACCTACCTAATCTGGTAAAATGCATTCCTGACTGTAGAGGGGGAATCCAAGAGCATGCCCATACTCTGAACCTGGGTTGAGACCCCAAGCCCCACCTAACAGAAACTGTATACCTATTCACGAATAAACTGTGTTCCCAATCAACAGTATTTCTGTATTATATAAACTTAGATTTGCTAGACTAATCGAGTGGAGCACTGAGTCAAGGTCAATGTTTTGGTTCTGACTTTTAAGGCCTTGAGCGGTCTGGGACTGATGTATCTGCGGGACCGCCCTCTCCGCTACACCCCTGGGAGAGCATTACACTCTTCACAGAACTTGCTGGTGGCCCCCAGCCCTGGAGATATCTGGCTGTCCTCAACCATGGCCAGGTGGAACTCTCTGCCAAATGACATCAGGGCCCTGAGGGATCTTATCCAGTTCCACAAGGCCTGTAAGGCAGCGATGTTCCGCCAGGCGTTTGGTTGAGGACAGTGACGGTTTACATCATAGCTGGCACCCTACCTGGATCCCTATTTCTTGTGGAGTTTACTCCCTCCCCATGCTTAGGAAGCACTCACAGAGTGGATTTGGGAGGGAATTGCAGATTTATTTGCCACTTGCTTTTAATTATTGTATAGCATGCTGGATATGGTTTTATGGTTTTATGTTTTTAAAATGTGTACATCGCCTAGAGCCCCACAATCGTGGGGATTAGGCGATTAATAGAATCATAGAATCACAGAGTTGGAAGGGGCCATGCAGGCCATCTAGTCCAACCCCCTGCTCAATGCAGGGTCAGCCTAGAACAAACTCATTTGTTATGAGGGCCGGATCTGACATAAATGAGACCTTGCTGGGCCGGGCCACGAGTGTCATAAAACATAATGCCAGGTAGCGGAGATATAAACTTTATAAAGGACACAAACACAAAGGGTTTTTTTTACTTAAAATAAAAACATGCTTAAAACATTAGCACTCTTGCGATATTTTGTTTATTTAACAGTGACTGATAACTGACACCTCTTGCTCTGAATTATTACATCAAAATGTCTGTGCTGTTGCAATCTTGAGTATGCTGTTCAGGCGTGTATCTGTAAGCTGCAAACCTACGATGACGCAGCAGCAGCAGAACTGGAAGAAGCAGCAGAAGACAGCCAATTCCACTGTGGGCCTGATGGAAGCCCTCCGGGGGCCTGATCCGGCCCCTGGGCCAAATGTTTGACACTCCTGGCCTAGAGCATCCCTGGCAAGTGCTGGTCCAGCTGCTGCTTCAAGACTGCCAGTGAGGGGGAGCTCACCACCTCCCTGGGCAACTGATTCCACTGCTGTACAACTCTCACTGTAAAAAAGTTTTTCCTCATATCCAGCCGGTACCTTCCCGTCCTTAATTTAAATTTAACAAATGTAATGTAATGTAATAAATAAATAAATAAAATAATAAAGACTTCATGCCACAGTCTCTGCTTAAAGAGTTGTTCAGAAATCAATCCATCATCCTTGGCTGAAATAGGCCTGTCAGTTTGACATCAATACTTGGAAAAATTCTAGAGCAGATTATTAAACGCAGTGAGTTAACTGGTAGTAGCCAGCATGGGTTTATCAAGACTAAGTCATGCCAGACCAACCTTATCTCCTTTGTTTGACAGAGTTACTAAAATGGTTGGCTCTGGCAATGCTGTGGACATAGTGTATCTAGATTTCAGTAAAGCATTTGACAAAGTTTCTCATGATATCCTTGAGGATAAACTGGTTAAGTGTGGGCTGGATGGTGCAACCATTGGATGGATTCATGGTTGGTTGAAAAATCATACCCAACGAGTGCTCATAAATGGCTCTGCATCTACATGGAGGGGAGTCTCGAGTGGAGTGCCGCAGGGCTCGGTCCTGGGCCCGGTGTTGTTCAATGTTTTTATAAATGACCTGGAGGAAGACATAGAGGGGATGCTTATCAAATGTGCAGATGACACAAAGCTGGGTGGGATTGCTAATTCTGAAGAAGACAGAGTCAGGATTCAACATGATCTAGATAGGCTCGTACAGTGTGTCTCAGTAGAGATAAGTGCAAAGTCCTACACTTAGGTACAAAAAATTAAAGGCACAGATATAGAATGGGAGGGACTTGGCTTGACAGCAGCACATGTGAAAGGGATCTAGGTGTTCTGGTTGATCACAAGCTAAACATGAGCATGCTGTGTGATGTGATTGTGAAGAAAGCTAATGGAATGTTAGGATTCATTAACAAAAGCATTGTGTCCAGATCATGGGAGGTGGTAGTTCCGTTCCATTCTGCTATGGTCAGGCCTCACCTGGAGTACTGTGTCCAGTTTTGGGCACCACATTTTAGGAAGGATGTTGACAAGCTCAAGCGTGTCCAGAAGAGGGCAACCAGGATGGTGATAGGGTTGGAATCCAAGTCTTATAAGGAAAGGCTGAAATAATTGGATATGTTTCGCCTGGGAAAGAGAGGGCTTAGAGGGGACATGATTGCAGTCTTCAAATATTTGAAGGGCTGTCATGTAGAAGATGGAGCGGATCTATTTTCTATTGCTTCAGATTGCAAGCCTAGATCTAATGGGTGGAAATTACAAGGAAGTCGTTACTGGCTATATGTCAGGAGAAACTTCCTGATCGTAAGAGTGGCTGAGCAGTGGAACAGACTGCCTCAGGAGGTGGTGGATGCTCCTTCGCTGGACATTTTCAAGCGGAGGCTGGACAACCATCTTTTGGCTACGCTCCTGCAGAGTGCAGGGGGTTGGACTAGGTGACCTGCAAGGTCCCTTCCAACTCTAACATTCTATGATTCAATGTTTTTATGGTTTTAAAATTTGTACATCACCTAGAGCCCTACAATTGTGGATATTAGGTGATTAAGAAATGTAATGTAAGAAATAATTCCAGTCCATTTCTGATCTTGGATGCTGAGAACCTTCAGTCTCCCCAGAATTGTACAGAAGAGGAGGGGCTGGGTATTGTGAGCATAGTGACCATATCCAGAAACAATGAAATTCAATTGAAATGAATAAACTTAAATATTCCTGTCTGTGTACTGGATTATGGCCATCCAGTGACAGAATGGCTCATTGGAATAAAGACTCCATGCCCTTTCTGTTTCAGGGGATACAAGACAGTAGAGAAAGAGGACCTTAAGTACCCTCTTATCCATGGACATGGAAAACAGGTAGGTGAGCACTCTACAGACATGTACAAGCCCATGCTTCATTATTTACAGTGACTTGTATCCTGCCATTCTAATCAGCAACGTTTGAAACCTTCTTTCAACTGGTGGGAGAGACATACGTTGGAGAAAGGCTCCTTAAGGCTGGTGAAAGGTGTCAAGAGGACCTTAAGTACCCTCTTATCCATGGACATGGAAAGCAGGTAGGTGAGCACTCTACAGACATATATAAGCACGTGCTTCATTATTTACAGTGACTTGTATCCTGCCATTCTAATCAGCAACGTTTGAAACCTTCTTTAAACTTAAGTTCCTCATCACCTGGTGGGAGAGACATAAGTTAGAGAAAGGCTCCTTAAAGGCTGGTGAAAGGTGTCAGACTTTGCTGAGTTTAGTGGTAGGGTACAGATCATTGATTTCTGTAGTTGCAGTTGGACATGAAACTATTGTTCTGTCAAATACCTCTCCTCCCCTATTCATTAAAGTAAGCCTGACCACAAATCTGGTATGTTTGCAATAGGTAGTGTGGGTCAGCGGTCTTGTTCATATAATAATTTGCTTATGAAATTCTCCATCTAAATTTTCAAATGTGGGTCTTTGCCAAGCATGGTCTTTTCTAACCAGGTGTGTTGGTCTGAAGCAGTAGAACAAAGTTTGAGTCCAAGGGGCACCTTTAAGACCAACTATGTTTACTGGCAGTTCTGAAGACTGGTGCCAGTGGGTTCAGCTTTTTATGAAATCACATCATTTTCCCAATGGCTTTAGGCTCGGTTGCTTGGTACCCTGGCTGTGTCACGAGGCCTGGGAGATCATCAGTTGAAAGTCATTGAAACGGATGTTGAAGTGAAGCCTTTCCTCTCCTGTATTCCCAAGGTAGGAAATCAGTAGAAGGTGGAGGCTGCTGCATTGGAGTTCAGCTGGGTCATTATTCTATCATATTCGGTCTGAGCCAAAGAAAGAGTAGCTCTTAATAACAGTGGGAAATAATAGGATGAGTTAGCTACACAACCACCAAGTGCTACTGGAATAAATGCAAGATTGACTTTGAATATTTGAGGATGCTATATACTAGGTCGGGCATGGGGGACATCTAGTCTGCTCTAGTTGGCAGGGACTTTCTGGGGTCTCAGGTAGCAGCAGAGGTCATTTCGGGGGGAAACGCAGGACGAAGCCCCGCCCCCTGCTTCCGGCCCTCAGTCAGCCAGGAGGAGGCAGGAGAAGAGGGAGGGTAAGTTGCTTCCTCCCTGCCTCTCCCCACCCCTGCCTGCCTGGGGCCAGGGAGGGCCTTCACGGGGCTTCCTTGCCCTCCCTCATGGGGCTCGGCAGTGGAGCTGCAAGGCCTACTGTGATCATAGCTCCTCAGACTTTCTACTTTTGGGTCCATTGTGTATTTTGCAGTCTAATATATAGGGCAGTCTATTTGTATCCATATTTTGTGCTCAGAATGAATAATTGCAAATCAATAAATGTGCTTTATTTGTACATTTATTCAGAGCTTCATATTTGATTTATAGAATTTGATTCAAAATAATATCATTTTTCCAGCTGTGAGGAATGGTAGGCTGAGAAGGCTAAAGTGAGCTTCTATAGCAGAGTGAAGGTTCACATCTTTTTCTATCAAATCTTAGCCTGACCCTCTAATCCTATCACATTAATTTCTCTGGCCTGGGGAGATCATTAACATCTAGGATAACAGTACAGCCTGTGCTGACTTTGTGACTTTCTAGTGATTTTGTCTGGTCAGTTGGGATGGGTGTGTGCCTTTCATACCTTGCTTGTAGTTTCCCAGAAGTGCTGTGTAGGGATCTCCAGTTGGCTGTATCTGAGCTGAAAAATATACCTGAAAATATTTTCTCAGCAAAATACAGATAAGAGTATATTTTTGCCTTACTGATTTAGCTGTTTCTGGTTAATCCCCCAAATATTTGGGTACTTTCCCAGCTTGGATACAGCAGATGTATTTGGAATTATATGGGATTGCTGGATAGCTGCAGTTAAAGGGCTCTCATTGGAAACAATGGAGGATGGGAGTACCTTCTTTGGGGGCTCCTTGAATTGGACCCCCTGCTCCAACCTTTTTGAAACTTGGGGGTCCTTTTGAGGAGAGGCAGCAAACTTGGTGCCTCTACCTCATAAAACAGACCCCAAATCGATTCCCCCTTATACTCTATGGGGACCATTGACTATAATGGTCCCCTGAGGGTATAATGGAGCTGGAAAAAAATCCTGAATCCAAATACCATACCGGTATTGGAATTCAGGAACATTTTTCAGGTCCAATACACCCGTACCCAAAAAGTCCCCAATTATTTCGCACACCCCTAGTTACGGGGTGGCCCTGTTGGAAAAACGTGGTCCTTGTGGTCTGATTTAGCAAGGCTCATCTTATTGAGAGAGGCACACTATAAAAATTTGTCTTTAACCCCCCATATAAATTACAAACACCTGATCTGGGAAGGATGATTAAGAATAATTCATGTCTATCTATATTTCCGGCTAGGTGGAAATGTATGACTTGACTACACAAAATATTAAGGAAGATGATGTCCTCATTATGGCAACTGATGGACTTTGGGATGTTCTGTCCAATGAAGATGTGGCCCAAATGGTCAGGAGTTTTCTTGAAGACAACAAAACTGACCCACACAGGTACAGTTTGCAGTTTGACCCAATACAGAGAGAGCAGAGGCTCAAGTCTCTTTCCCACAATAGACTGTGCTGGTTGTTGTCCTTGTATCATGGAGATGTTTAAGTGGGAATAGTTCACATATTCCACTTTCAAGAGAACTTCTAATCCCTACATTCTAGCCCACTGGTACTGACTATTCTGTGTGCCCCCTCCTACTGTATAAATGTATAGAACCAGTGGAAAACCTTCTTATCTGTTGATAATGAGGGTGTTGATTTCCATCTGATGCTACTTGCCCCACGGGTAAAAGGTTAACAGCAAAGGTGTCTGTGTTGTATTTTATCTAAAGCTCAGGTCAGGATCCCAGTGATGATTTGACTGCTCTACTGGAAGTGTTCCTATGTGGCTTTTGCAATCAGTTTTTTAAGATTTAGAAAAGGGCTCAGGTGAAGGGAGGGAAGGTATGCTAAAGGCTATGTGGTTTTGCATCTAACCAGCTGGAGGGCTTTGCTTTCTTGGCTATCTTTATATTGTGCCCAACCTGTGAATTGAACATCAAAGCTTAGCCCTGCGCTACTCACTGAGCTCAACCTTCATCTCTCTGTTTTAAGGATTGCTAGTCCCTGTTTAGCATGACAAAACAGTCGTTAATGTCTTCTTTCTGTAGGTTTTCGGAACTGGCCAAGTGTTTGGTGTGGAAAGCAAGGGGAAGGAAAGATGGATACTACTGGACTCTGGCCAACAACGCCTCCGCTTCCTATGATGATATTTCAGTATTTGTAATTCCACTGCACAACAAGGATGAAAACTAGGGTCTGTTTCTAAGGAAAAAGGACTCCACTGCATTTTGGCCATTATAGCTGTTGCTGAGATGGTATCCACAGCGCTTTAAAAACTTTTATCTTCAATCAATGAGGGCGGAACTGGGAAGTGCCATGGATAGTTTCAGATGCCACAACTCATGGCAGATGTCAATTTCCATCACCTAAAAACTTTTCCAGCAGATAACTGTGCTTGAGATGCCTTGCTGTTGTATAGAAAACAGGACATTTTGATATAATGGCCTATCTTGTACACTATGAAAAGGGTACTACTATTAATTGTCATGGAGAATCATGTAGTCTACCAATGTTCTCCTTTACTTATTTAAAATACTTGTAACCTTCCTCTCCCTTTATTTACTTAATTTATATCCTGCCTCTCTGGGTAGATAAAGCAGCTTAAAATTCATCACTAAATAAAAAAGTTAGAATCTCAGAAAATTCATGCAGCTCAAATCCTATTAAATGCTCTAGGAAAATAGAATGGCCTTACAAAAATGGTGCACTTCTCCAGGAAAGAAATGGGCTTTACTGGAAGCCAAGTGAGCTATCTCAGTAGGTATGACCAGAGGGACACATGGAGACTGTCCTTCAGCTGTGCAAGACTCTGACAGTGAAATGCACTTGAAGTTACTCTGGAAGCCAGTGTAGTTGTTCTAAAGTAAGTGAGATATTAGTCTCAGCTAGCCTGTGACAACTTGTGCTACTGCATTCTGAACCAGTTGAAGTTTCTAGGTTGTCTTCAATAACAGTCCAACCATGTGGTTACAAAAGCATAAAGGAACCTCCATATCCAGAGACAGTAAACCTCTGAACACCAGTTCTTGGAGGGCCTTTTAGCTGTGGCACCCAACATGTCACACTCCCTCCCCCAGGCAAGTGAAGTTTTTTTCAGCTGGGCTTTCTTCAGTGACCCTTCCTTCCTGCCTTCTGTTTTAATTGCTGGGTATGTTTTTATATATGTATATTATTATTGGTTATAAATTAAAATATTAAAATGTTCTGCTTTGAACTGCTACCTATCTCGGTGGCCCCACCTGGGCAGAATATGAATTCTGTAAATAAGTAACATGGACTTATCATTACATCCTGTTTGGACAACTGGTTATGCACGGAAGTATGGTGCTAGAGGAGATAACTCTTAGGACTAGCTAGGTCAGCAGTCTAAAAAAGGACAGTTGGTGAACGAAGGCATTCTTGACCACTGTATGAATCTGCTTCCCAAAGAAGGCTGAGGTAATAAACACAAGCTGTTTTTTTTACTGGTTCCAAACAACCCCCTTTCCCAGCATGATTTTAAAAGCCATGGATCAAGAATGCGAACAGCCAACAACCCTGTCAGCATCCATTGGCAAAAATCAGATCTACTCTCAACTCGGTCTCCAAATCAGAATGGTCCAGATTTTATCAGCAAATAATCTCTCTAAAACATCTTTAACTAAGTCCCAAACATCAAACTATTACACTGGATAAGGTTCAAATGACATGGTTGTGGCAGAGGTGAAACCCTTCAGCCACTGCAATTGTCATGGGCTTGCAAATGGGTGCTATAGCGCGCACTGATTCATCTAGAAAGTAAAGGTAAAGGTTCCCTTGCTCGAAAGCCAGTCAAGTCCGACTCTAGGGTTGCGGTGCTCATCTCCGTTTCAAAACCGAAGAGCCAGCGCTGTCTGAAGACGTTTCCGTGGTCATGTGGCCGGCATGACTAAACACCAGGGCGCACGGAACGCTGTTACCTTCCCACCGAAGTGGTACCTATTTATCTACTTGCAATTTCTTGCTTTCGAACTGCTAGGTTGGCAGGAGCCGGAACTAGAGACGGGAGCTCACTCCGTCATGCGGCACACTCGGGTCTCGAACTGCTGAACTACTGACCTTCCACAGCCTGCAGGTCAGTGTCTTAACCACTTGCGCCACCCCAGCTCCTCTGATTCATCTAGATTTCTCCCAATTCTTTTCATAGCTTCCCAATGAACTAGGGGACCTACCAAGTGGCAGGATAGGGAACCAGGAAGCAACCCTAGGGGCCTAGCCAGACCATCATTCCATCTGGCTACAAGGGCCTCTCTTCATCAAACATCATTGTGGTTGAGATTGTAATAGTAGCCCTTACAAGCTACTGGCTACAAATGCTTTGTATTCAATTTATTGCAATTGGAGTCTAATGAATCAATAGTACAACTGAACCATACCTAAGACCTACAGGAAACCTGTAAAGGAATGGCCCAGCTACTTCAGGGATTCTTGGTTGCAAGTTGCATTTACAAAGGACAATATATCTCAATTACTCCTCACTTTGGATTATATTTTTTATTATTATTATTATTTATTATTAACATGTTCTACTTCAGGCACGAGGGCCGCGGTGGCTCAGAGGTAAGACGCTGAGCTGCAGACCACGTCTGTAGTTTGGCAGTTCAGCCCCCTAGTGCTGCTTGATGGAGTGAGCTCCCGTCTCTGGCCCCAGCTCCTGCCCACCTAGCAGTTCGAAAGCAAGAAATCGCAAATAGGTACCGCTTCGGTGGGAAGGTAACAGCATTCCACGCGCCTCGACATTTAGTCACGCCAACGACATGACCGTGGATAAGTCTTTGGAAAGTGCTGGCTAACTTTGGAGGAAATGGAGATGAGCACTACCCCCTAGAGTTGGATTTGACTGCCTTTCGAGCAAGGGAAACCTTTACCTTACTTCAGGCATGAGATTTTACTGTGTCTTTACACTTACCTTCTCTTTTTATATATCTTCACGACAACTCATTTACATATTTGAAATGGTTTTAGCATAACTATGATGATCTTGTAACAGAAAACCACTAATGTATTCATGAAGGTGTTAATGCTGTACTGGGTCACGCCATCAACTAACCACTGGAACAATGTAGTAGAGTTAGAGGATAGCTATGTTTCTTTCAGAAGCAGCACAGCAGAAATGGATCTAGGCATCCCTTTAGTTATCTGATACTCAAGCTACTTTAGCTGCTCTTAGGCCCTGTGTCTTACGGCTTCACTAAAGTACCTCCCATCCAAATATTATAGTTTTAGTCTTAAAGTACAATAAATGCATTTCATATAACAAAATGGTCAGGAACTTTATAAAGAGCCTCCTACAATCTCTTTACCCACAGGAAATCCATCCTATCCACCGCTCTGTAAGGTATATCTTAAAAACGAGTACATCTTGGCATACAAAGCATTATCCTAAACAAAGCTTTTCCCAGCAACACACAGACATTTTACTCTAGTGGATGGTAAAATATTTCAGTTTTATATAAAAGCAAATTATACACAAATGTTTGAAATAAACTGCTAAGCATAAAAAGGTACAGCTATTCCTGCATTATTATGACTGGGCACAAGCCAGACAAAGTTAAATACTTTAATACTCCATTGATTTCAACAATGTTAAGTAAGAGTCTAAATTTCTTAGAACTGTGAAATTTTAGTGACCGTAGGTAATTGTTTAACAGGTCATAAAACATTTTGCTGCAATCTGGTAATAAACTGTATTTTAAGCCTGAGCACACCTTCAGATACACTGGTCTTTCCCCACAGCCTACTGATAAGCAATTCAGTAACTTGCTGAAATCCCCCATCCTGCTATCACAGCACTCCTATAACTTACTTAGTGAAACAGAAAATACTTTAAAGGTTTCCAGTGTTTCATAAGACCTTGGAGACTGTTGACCTTATTCCCCTCTCTGCATTATATCTGTGAACACTGTAACAGGAAGACTGACAGTACAAAACAAACACAATTTAATCTTATTTACAAATGCTTTTCATTTACAACACAAAAAACTTATTTTTCCATATGACATTGTTGCTGCAACAACTTGATAACATCCTTTTTTATTTTTAGACAAGGTTACCCACTGAAATTTGCAGCCAAATCCTACATGTTTACTCAGAAGTCAGTACTTACTCCGAAGTAATGTGCATGCCATTGACTCTTAGTTTACAAACCCAAAGGATTTCAGTTGCCAAGGAGATTATTTTTAAGACTAGTATTACTGGTCAGTTTCTTTTTAAATTGCAGAAGTAGACTCTTATGGTTTTTCCTAAAAATCTATGTTCAAGTGCACTTTGGAATGAGAGAATAGGGCATTCTCTTCCCACTCCCCAGGATTACATGCTTGCACCTTAAGATTTTATAAGAAAAATCTTAGATACCTTTTCAAAAATAAAACCAACCCTTGATGTGAGAAACAAGCAGAAGGCTGCACATTATTAAGGTTCAATACAAGTTGATAAAGCATTCATGCTAAAGCCTGGAAAAAGGCTAATATTTATTCTTTCATACATTAAAAGCAAGAACAGTTACAGCCCACCATTTTTGCCTAGGAGTGTTTGATCAACATGATCAACAAAAAATATTGACGCCCATGAGGAATTTTGTGTTTGAAAGGTCCAAATGGCCTTACGCATCGGAAGCCCTGCCTCACATCTTCATTAAAATATGTTAACTTGCCTTTTTGCAGCTACTTAAAGCAGCATTATGGATTTTTGCTCTTAAAAATGGTAATAACAGTAAACTCAATACTTTTGCTCCTTGAAAGAATGTATACAGCTGTGAAGAAAACATACAACTGACAGACAAGACACTACAAATTTTATACAAAATCAGCAGTGCTCCAGTACATCTAATTGTGTAATTTATTTTCAATTGAAAATGTAAGGCCACACTGAAGTACACCAAATGCAGTGGATAACTTGAAAGATGCACAGACAACCGTAGGTGCTCATGCATTTTCCAGCAATGCTTTTCTAATGACATATTTCACTTGGAAGTCAGATCTCAGCAAAAGATAAACACATTTCATTTGTTTTGCTACTAACTAGCTCTGGATGAATGGCAATCTCCCTGAAGAAACTGTTTTTGGGAATGATAAGTTAAAAGGTGGTACAGCCAAAGTGACAGGGTGCTGAATTGCCCACGAGAAAAACGCCACCAGCCTGGGGCAACACATTAAAATGAATTGCCCTGAGGATCACAGCTAAGAACACTCCTGCTCTGGGTCCTGATGTTGTATCCAACCGTCTTGTCCTTTCTTCTGGGCTTAGTGCTGCAGAAGCCTGGAGAGGAGGAGCTGGCAGCTGACAAAGCCTCTGAACTGGAACTCCCTCCCTGGCAGATCAGGGAACACTCATCATATGGTCTCTGCACAGCAAAGTAACCGCTATACAATACTAAACCCAGAAATACAATAGCAGAAAAGCAACTGGTCCAAAGAGATTGCCCCTCTCCTCTCTCACCAAGCCCAAACAGACATATACTCCTCATACTGGTTAATGCACAGAACTCTTTGGATAATGCAGTACAATGTACATTAATAATGTCAGAAAAAAATACTTCATTTATCCATAGATTCTGCCTACAGGAATATGTGGAGAGCCAGGGTATAGCCAAAGAGGCCTGGGCTCCTTAAGAAAATACTTTGGTTCTTGGAGAAGGATTCAATAAGCACAGAGGTCTGAAGGGGAATGAACTCTGCTAGAGCACAAAGCATTAAAACTGTGTATGCTTGAACAGTAGTTCACACCAGACCTTAATAAATTTGGTGAAACTGCCATTAGTAGCATTAGCCCCAAAGTTATCAAACAGTATTAAAAGCAAACTTAATATTTCCAGTTCTCCTGGAAAGGAGACAAAGACTATGTTTGTTACAAGCTTTATCCTTCTACAAAGAGGTGGCCAGGGAAGAAAACAACTTAATCAACTGGAAATTCTGCATTTGAGTCTTGATGGGGGGATTTTTTGTTGGGGGGGGGGGGGGAAGAGAGAACCATGCTAACTTTAACAACGGGACAGAAGGAGTAAACCTGTACGAGTTGAAAAACAAGATGAATGCTGCTTGAAAAGACAGGTAAAACTGCCAAGACTAATTCCGCAATACTGTATTGGTCCAGGGTTATATTTTAATAACTAAAAGTAAAAAAATATTATCCCCCCCACCCCTATTTACAAAAACAGCAAAGGTTACACAGAAAGGTTACAGGGACAGAATTTCTAGTAAGTCTATTTCAGAACATTTTCCACTTGAAAGGCTTCTTTATTGCTTAAAATTGCCCACTTAAACACTTCAGGTGTCCTGTACGTCCCAGTTGATACCAAGGGCAAACGACACAAAGTCTCTATTCTATGTAGTCTCCTGGGAGCACAACATTCATGGCAGCATCAGCACTAATCCCTTTATGCAGATAAACTCCTTTCCATGAGGGCAGCCAAGGAAGTTTCTCCCAGAACCTCATTATGGATTAAAAAGTTGTGCGTTATCTATGGCACTTCAACCTAAAAAATTAGCAATATATGGATACCGTTAAGATTTTGGGTTGGGGAGAGCACGTGGCAAGATTCAACAAGCCAAGGGTTCCAGGAGTTTACAGGAAGTAGTAACATTCAGTTACTAGCAGAAAGAACTGATATATCAGTAGGTTTCAACTGTGGGAACATTCAATCAGAATATGTTAGAGGACCACTGTCAATGAGTTCAACTTGAATAAGTTCTGCTACACTTGAGATGCTAGCAAATTGTGAATCCTTTTTTCCAGCCAAACGGTGCACAGATGAATGAAGAATTCCTTTTGAAGAAGAGCAACAGAGTCAGGTCTATAGTATGATACAGAGATGTGTTGGAGAAATGCATTCAGTCAAAGTAATGCAATATCAATACTTTTATAGTGATCCTTGCAAGTATGGTGCTGTCCACACGATGTAAAAATTGTCCAGAAGAAGTGATGAATCCAGAACTAGTCATCTATTGTTGGTAACCAAAAGGCCTGAAAGAAGAAACAAGTGTAAGCATTGTCTATTAGAGGGGTGTCAAACATGAGGCCCGGGGGCCGGATCAGGCCCCTGGAGGGCTTCTATCAGGCCCATAGTGGAACTGGCTGTCTTCTGCTTTTTCTTCGGGTTCTGCTGCTGCTGCGTCATTGTAGGTTTGCAGCTTACAGATACACACCTGAACAGCATACTCAAGATTGCAACAGCACAGACATTTTGATGCAATAATTCAGAGCAAGAGGTGTCAGTTACCAGACACTGTTAAATAAACAAAATATTGAAAGAGTGCTAATGTTTTAAGCATGTTTTTAGTTTAAGTAAAAAAAAAACACCTTTGTGTTTGTGTCCTTTATAAAGTTTATATCTCCACTACCTGGCATTACATTTCATAACACATCGCCCGGCCAACAAGGTCTTATTTATGTCAGATCCAGCCCTCATAACAAATGAGTTTGACACCCCATGTCTAGTACCTGCTGGTTTAGACAATGAGTGGGGGGACAGCAGTGCTTTCTAGAGTAACAGTTAATTTTTAAAAATCAGTTTTCCAAGCTAGCTCGAAATCATTTCCATAAATAAGACAGAGAAAGGTCTTACAACCAGGCAAGGTAGATTTTCAGGACTGCTCTTTTATTGGTTTGATTTGCTGTGGTTTTCTGAATTACCCTATACATTATTTTATTTATTTTAACTTTTGGTTAGGCTAGGTCTCAATTGGCAAGATGGTTCTGTTCATTCTGGGAGAGATGGTCCTAAAACTATTAGAAACCCAGGCTATGAATAGGTTAAAACCAGCACAAAGTTACAGAAACATGAATCAGTGCGGCAAGGTACACACTGTCTAGAAAGAGATGGAGCCACTACACAAAATACTGATGGGGAAAAACAGGCACTTGTTCTAACAATGCCAACCTGCAGTTTGGTGTAGTGGTTAAGAGTGCGGACTCTAACCTGGGAGAACCGGGTCTGATTCCCCACTCCCCCACACGCAGCTGCTGGTGTGACCTTGGGTCAGTCATAGGTTCTTTCAGAGCTGTTCTCTCAGGAGCAGTTCTCAAAAGAGCTCTCTCAGCCCCACCTACCTCACAGGGTGTCTGTTGCAGGGAAGGGAAGGGGAAGGAGACTGTAAGCCACTCTGAGATTCTTCTGGGTAGTGACGGGTGGGGTATAAATCCAATCTCTTCTATCTAAATAAGCACTAAATAAGCCTCAAAACAGTATCACACTGAGTCTAGCTTATGACTCCTACCACCTATTTCCCCCACCTACCACCTCTTCACAAAGGCAGCCTGATAAAGTAGGAAAACTTGACTTAGCATGGACAGTGTTACACCATACAAATGAGCCTATTAAGATGTACTAATTTATACCAACTAGATTCAAGTCCAGTAGTACCTAAGAACAAGATTTTCAGTTTATAGGCTGCTTTCAAGAGCCAAAGGTCCCTTCGTCAGAACTGAAAATCTTGTTGATCTCTAAGGCGCTACTGGACTCAAATCTAGTGACCCTCTGAAACTATCTTCACGTTCTATTATCAAGGCAATTAAAAATTTCAGGATTTAAATCACTTAAGAGGAAAGACTGACTGAATTCACTGCTTTACATCAAATCTCACATTTGTACTTCTAAACACATCAGTGGGTAATGTAAGCATTAAAACAACTAAACTGAGCATTTATATTACTGGTTCTTGCAGCTTACACAGGCACTTCAAAATGCATTATTCTGTGTATTCAGAAACGGAAAGACCCATTCTAATCCTTTCCTGATCTACTTCAACCCACCCACAGATTAGTATTCAGCAAATAATGCCTGGCTGTCACTTGCTGAATGCTGACACAAGCTCTTCCCAGTCGACAGGAAGTGCGCATGTGCTTTCAGAGCATGGGGCTGGATATAACTACCATCACACACAATGGTGTGGGAATTTCAGCTTCAGCCCTTGGTCACTTGCAGAGTGACCAGCAGTATTTCAGCAGTAGGCTATAGACAAGTCGGAGGGGTGCAGGGAGGAAGGCAGAAAACAAGTTGGAAATTCGACTCCATTCCCTAAGATCTCTCCCTCCAGGAGCCTTTAAGCTCTCAGGGGGTTGAGTAGGCTAATTTTTCCCACTGTTCCGTTTTCTGTAAGTGGTCTCCATCCTTTCTGAAGCATTTTAAGTTTTCACCAGGCTTTTTAAAAAATTGTCTTTCTATGTCAATTTATAAAGTCATGTTTTCTGCATACCTGAGAAGTCTTCTGAGAAAGTTGATACCCCTCACCACCTTGCTGTGGGTGGCCACATTATGTAGCTTTCATCAGCCACACAGAAGCTAGCCAGCTTGCTATGAGATACAGTGTCAGTACATAATCTAAATCTAGATTCAGGTGTAGAAAAGAGCAAGAGTCCACAGTAGCACCTTAAAGACTTAAAAATATGTGGCTGGGTATGACCTTTCATGAGTCACTGCTCACTTCTTCAGATACCTGAAGAAGACACCTGAAGAAGTGAGCAGTGACTCATGAAAGCTCATACCCGGCTTCCACATACTTTGTTAGTCTTTTAAGGTGCTCCTGGACTCTTGCTCTTTTCTACTGCTACAGGCAGACTAACACAGCTACCCATCTTGATCTAGATCCAGGTGGTCAGCCGTGTTGGTCTGAAGCAGCAGAACAGTTTGAGTCCACTGGAGTTTTAAGACCAACAAAGTTTTATTCAAGGTATAAGCTTTTGTGTGCAAGCACACTTCTTCGGATGTAGAATTTAAAATGAATTTAAAATGCAAGAACTTTTCCCAGTTGCTCTTTCTTTACATACAAAACCGGCCTTTAACTCAATGGGCAGATGGTCAGTGATCATGTTATGTTATGGGCTTTAAAGTGTTTTATTAAATTCAGATGTTATTTCACACCAGCTTATTTAAAATAAAGAACCTTATAGAGCCAATTTAATATTTTGTTTTATGTTTTGTTTTCTTTCTTATGGATAAAAACCAGAAGTTTTTCCTTAATGCAAAAAAGACACCAACTCATTCCTGGCTGTATACGGAGAACTACATAAATGTTTTTAGTTTGCATTCTGTGCATCTCGGAAGTTAGAGGGGCCACTCTACAGTATTATGGACATTATAGTTTCATTTTCTAAAATGAGCATTTTATGAATTAACATAGATCATGCTATCTTGACCTCTTTGCAATGAAAGACTAGGCCTCCTATGAAGGAGTCCACGAAGAGTTTGACAGAAGCATAGGTCTCCTTACCATGTTGGAACACGCACTGGCAAAAGTCATAAACTTGGGGTTAAACTGTAAGCAGGTAATGGGACCTGTATGTTTTCCATCTAGCACTGCTACCTTCATTCCACCCTCTGTATTCCAGACATGAATCTTCCCATCCTCGGACCCTGCAGAATGGATTATCCAATATTAGTATCAAACGGGAAACAGCTCCTCAAACAGATTACACCAAATCAACAAAAGACAGACTCTAGAAGGTCTACAAGGTCAAGTCCTCTTTTCTGTAGAAACTATTTAACATGCGAGGGTGGGTGGGTGTAGACCTGGTATCCCACAAGCTGTAAGAAGAAATACAGGTCTCTTACCAATCATTACAAACTGAGAATCGGGGGTGAAAGAAGCCTCTAATGTGACAGCTTTACTGTTGTTGTATCCCTGCAAAAAAGAATAAGATTAAAGGCTACAGAGGTGTGAAAAATGTCACACCATGCCTGTAGGTAAGAAACAAGAAACTTCTAGATGACTTTCCTCTAGCTGCCAGGATTAAAAAGGAGTTAAGTGTGTACATGTAGCACATCTGAAATGGAACTTCAAGTTTATTAAAGCAAATTGATGCGCTAATATTAATTGGTTAGCAAAAGTAGTCCTGGTAAGAAATATTCAGGCATACACATGGCCAACTAACAGAACTGATTAGTGTAACATGTTTCACTCTAAATTTGAGGGAAATGAAAACCAAACACAAAAGAAAAGGTAAGGAACAGCAAGCTCACCGTAAATGTATTCTGCACAGCTCCTTTAAAGGCATCAATGAGTCGGATAAACCCTCCATTGGTTGATATAAGAAAGAGCTTGCCATCATTGCTGAATTTCAAACCTGTCCATTCACAAGTTCGATCATACTGCATCTTAAAAGTAGCAAATGGACCCTAAAGGGGGAAGGAAAAGAAATTTACCAAACAAGGACATGCCACACAATCCTCCAAGTCACTCTGGATAAAGAAGTCAAAATACTCATATTTTGAAATAACCAACAGCTGAGAAACAACCATAAGTCCTATGTTGGAGCAAGAGGTGGTTTTAATTAACCAAAGCATCTATAAGGGTCTTTTCTGACATGAACTGTCAGGAAAAGAACATGCATGAATAAATATGGGATTAAATTTATCTAAGGGAAACTGCTTTCTGGAAGAGGTACCAGGAATTATTAGGGAGTGCAGAACATGGGGTCTTAACCTGTCTATGTTCAGAAGATTGTTTCAAGCAGGTGTTTTCCATGATCACAAGACACTGATTCAAAAGACCTGGTGATCCTCTCATTAAAAATAACTGGTATATTTTCCTTTCAACTGGCAATTCAGTTCATGAGGCTCTAAAACATTTGCAAGAGGAGGAAACTCATAGTAAAAGTGTCCTCAAATCACTCAAGGTGCTATATGTGAGTACCTGACAGAGAAGAGCTGGATACTCAGTATCTCTTGGAAGGCATCATACAATTATATTTTAATGTTTAATTTCCACAAGAAATAACCATACATTAACAATATTGTATATGAGACCAGGGAAAGCCACTTCATCGTAACAAGTGCTGACATTTATGATGATGAACTGCTCAGATGAGAGAGAGAGAGAATGGGCATCCTCCATGCATACACCCATTTGCTCCAGCCTAGGTTTGGGGTGGGTGGGGAAGGATGCCAGGTAACTGTAGTTTCAAATTAGGTTACAAATCTTTCTCTAATTACTTTTATTTCTTGGAATCTGCACCCTAACTCTGCAGCCTGTACCCATTCAAGAGATGCTGACAGTAATAGTAAAATAAAGCTTTTGTTTGCTTAAGGAATGAAAATACTTTACTGATTCCTACCCATGCAACTTGCTTCTCCTCATGCTACCAAATAGTCCTGTTTGAATGCTTCTTCTAGTATCAAACAGGTGAGAGGGGTGTGACCCTGGAGACGGTGGTGATTACTGGAGGAGGAACCCCCCCAAAAAAACTCTTAAGAGAGATGAAGAGCAGTGAAGGATTCCCCGTGGGAAATGTTGGGTTTCCTTGGGCACAATACCCCCCTGCCACTGCCTCTGTATGTGGTGGAATCACTTGCTCACTAGTTCACTGCAGGTGTGAGGAGACAGCAACCCAGAAAGGGCTAGGAGAGAATTACAGCAAACAAAATAGAAAAACAAAAAAGCAAATAAAGTAAAATAAAACGGATACAGTCACCATTATACATTAAAATAACCTGTGAATGTTTTTACCAACTCTTAGGGATTAGTTATAACCTAAACATATGATCCACTGGTGCCTGCTAGTTACTGGGCTCTTATTTGATTTATATTTATAAGCTGCCTCTCCAAAGAACCTGCTCAAGGCAGCTCACAAAGTTAAATTGTAGAGTTGTATACAGTTAAAGTTAACAAATGATTAAAACCCAGCTATTAAACACCCAGGAGGCTAAAACGACCCTCAAAACAGTCTTCAGTGTAGGAGGAGACTGTAAAAGCAACTTAAGAAAACCAAATATTTTGGTCACAAGAAATGTTTTGCTCTGGTGCCTAAAAAGACAGTTAGGCAGTCCCCCAGGCCACCACTGAAAAAGGCTCATCTCTTGGCCACCACCAACCTCACCTCTACAGACAAGAGCACACAGAAAACAGCATGCAGGATTAAACAGATCCTGATCTGATTCAGCTAAGCACTTTTTATGTTTCTAAGCAAGAAGGAATACCAGAATCAGTCACCATAAGTCAATTATGCCCTAACTTGAAGAGATTCTATGGCTGCGGTCACACAGAGCATTAGTGGTACAACCTCATTTGGAGTACTCTGGCTGCGGTCACACGGAACAGTAGCCACGCTAGAGAGATGGAAGATAGGTGGATTTTCCAGGCGCGATCTCACCGCCTCATCTGGGAAGCGTAGAGCTCCAGTAGCTCAACCGAGGCTTCCCTCCGAAGATGCGCGGCAAAAAACTAGTACCTCGGATCGCATTTTCGGTGGCATCCGGCGCCCACCCATGTCCCCTCGCAAACAGGTCATTTCCTCCCGGTGGTAGTTCCGGCGCCCGCCCATGCCCCCTCGTATAAAGGTTTTTTGTTTCAACTGGCCATGGGATGCGCACAAGCACCCAACACTTTGGTGTCCAGGAAAAAAACCACATCCGTTTGTCGCGCCACTTCTTTGCCGCGGCGCAGGATTGTGGTGTGGTGTGCTCGGCACCTCCCCCCTACCACGGGACCTCCACGGTACGTCTGCTGGCGCAACCGCGTGTTATTTTGCCCTGGGGCAAACAGCCACGCTCCCCCCCCGCATTTTCCTGCCCGTGTGACCAGGGCCTATGTGTTCTTACTGTATAAGAGTAACAAAATCTATGGAACAAGGAGTTCTATTAAAAAAGAAAAGGAAAGGAAATGCAAGGCTAAAGCCAGACCCACCATACTACAGGTATAACATTTCCAGTTTCTTCTGGGATTCTACATAACCCAAAGGCAGCTGAGCATCACACACCTTGTCAAAAGAGCGAAGATCATAAAGTTTCACCATTTCAGAATTGACACCAGCGGCAAAAATCAGACCCTCTGGATCAAATGAGCACACAGGCTTCCCCTGAGGATGCATCAAACCCTAAGAATTCAGAAAGGTGGGGGAAAAATGAAAGAAATTATTCTAAATTATGTGTTCCCAGAAATAAAAATGTGACATTTATCACTATCATTTTACTCCTCACAGACATGAGATGTAATTTTTGTGTGCTGCCACTGCCATCTTTCAGTGGATTCAAGAACTACAATCTATTTCACAGCACACCTCACTGATGAAAAGGGAGATCTTACCTGGCAATTAGGAGAACGAAGATCCCAAAGTCTTATAGTTTTATCAAGAGACCCAGAAATAAAGGTATCATCTACTGGAGACATGGACAGAGCAACAACTCTGAAACAGAGATAACATATGTTTCAAGAGCATAAAATAAATATACAAGCAACTGGAATAACTATATTTACCTTTCATTCCTACAGGCTCCAGAAAGGGTAAAAAATTATAGACAAGGAAGGTAAACAGTAAACAGAATCTATTATGGCTCAGTTTTGTCAATCACTGCCTCTTCCTGCTTATATAGTACCAAGATTATTGCTACTAATCTTACCTTTTGTTGTGTCCTGGAAAGTATCTGATATATTTATTGTCATGCAGGGAGAGGTATCTGATCGTATCTGCAAGAAAATATCAATAGGCTAAGTACTATCATACAGCAATACTGCATCATGAAGTACTAATGGGCTGCTTATAGCAAGAAGAAAGACAATGAGTGTTCTTAACACACAGTTTCCTTGGCCATAAAAACTGAAGCCAAGAAGTATAATCTCTTGGAATGATTTAAGAAAAAGATAGTATTTAACGGACCTCCAGCTAGCAACCCAGCAAAGGAATGATTCAGGTTTCAAGTCTATACTTCTGGCTTAAAAACAATCCTTTTTTCTATCTGCTGTTCTGTTAAGAGTCCAGCTTGCAGAAGCATAGCTGTGTTAAAGTGCAGCAACACTTGTTAACCAAAATCAGTGCATAAACTATTCCCGTCCAACAACTGCCATAATAAAAACTAGTCATTCTGGGACATCTGCAGACCCATACTCTGAATCAAACTCTCTAAAACTTAGAAAATTTCTGGAAACTTTGAAGACAGGTGAAAAAAATGAAGATTTGGGGAAAACTGAAATACATGTACTATTTTATTTCCTATCAAACCTATGCTACCGTAGTATACATCTTAATTTTTGCAATCTTTTAGGTAGCTAAAAGCAAAGGCAGAAAACCAAAGAAAGTGTATTATTTGGACAGAAAAACTCTCATAGTCTCAACATGTAGGACCACAGGAATATTTGGGCATCAAGTTACAACTTCATAGCACTGAAAGCACTGAAAACAGGGATTTAAAAAATACAGGCACCAGTTTGCCAAGGCATCTAGAAATTTAATTGTGGTGCCCAGTATTGGCAAATATACACGCAAAACTCGGAAAACTGGGGGGAAAGTGTAGCTTCTAAACTTTTTGGCAGGCTCCAAGAACTAAATAATTGTCATGGCCTGCTTCCATTGTGTCTAATCACTAGACACATTATAGCATTTAGTTGTCGGCAAAATTTACATTTAAAGAAAATACAATCCCGAAAAATATTGTGCATATCTACAGTATACATAAGGATAATGATCTAATGCTGTAGATTGTCTTACATAAAAATTTTCATACTACATGACTAAACCTTTTCATTTCATGCATTCCAAAGGAGAAAAAAACCTAAAGTTCTTTTTCAGCATTCTCCCAATGTCTCAATTTTTCCATCAGAAAAACGAGAGGGGGTGAGTTAAAGGCCTGGGGGGGAAGCATCCCCCCATCCCTGGGTCTGACCTACTCATCACAATAAACTCCAATTTAGATGAGATGTGCCTTTTGCCATGTTTGTGTTTCTTTCTCCCCTCTCCTCCCTCATGCAGGGTATAATTAAGCTTCTTGGTTTGAAACAAACTCCAGGTACCTGTGACATACAAATTCAGGAGCCAGGGGGAATCTGTCTTTACTCCTCACAATCCAGGCTTCGATAACTAGATTAAACTAGTTATAAACTAGTTTATAAACGAGGCTCATAGAGGACAGAAATAATTCCAACACACTTCAATTGCCTGAATTTGTATGTCATTGGAAATCAGAAAACCTTAACTTTGCGCTGGAAGTGGTGGTGGTGGTGAGTACAATTAACCGTGTTCATGTCTATTTTGGCTTAACTGGAGCCTGCTGTAACATCTGAAAGCAATCTTAGTATCTGGTTTAAAAGTTACGAGTAATTGAGAAAAGCAAATGTTCTAAAACGGACTATATATGAGCGTTTATATGCAAACTGAATACACCAAAACCAACCTGGAAGATTTTATCATAACATTTTTGTACTAACTATAAATGGGGTGCGAAACCTTCAAGTTAGACGTGCCTTGTGGAATTAAGAATAACGTCTCAGTCTGCAGAAGTTCACCTATAAATGGGGAACTACAAATGGTTTAGTAGAGAAGGATAATTAGAGTGCTAGAAAAAGCCCAGTCCTCTGACCCAAGCAACCATAAGTTAAAAATGCCCTAGTTAATATAGAGAAGAACCAAAATCTTTCTATAACCCTTCAGTTTTATAGAAGGAATCTGCTCAAGGAGCGGTTTCCACTGACTCATTGATGATTATTCTCTGTACAGTCACCCAGAGGCTGGCAGGCACATATTAAGAACAATTTTGCTGCCAAACATGAATGGGTAAGACTGACATGGTGGTCTGAAAAGTCAATTCTCCCCTTCCCAACACACACTAATAAACAGATCATCAATTCTTTACTCCAGAATATGTTACTTAACAGATATATTACTACTCTCTAAATAGAAACCATTACCTGGCACCATCTAAGGCAGGTGGGAAGCTCCTCCTTTTAGCAGACAGAGCTCTGTCCCAGGCAAGGCAGTGGCCTGTACAGTTATCTCCTGTACCGGGTGGTATCATAGACCCTCAAACTGTACAAACTACTACCTCAGACTGGAATCAGGCAGGCAGAATCAGGCTTCAAACACTTGTGGAATCTTCACAAAGGACACTGTCATCAGATTCAAGCAGCAATTCAGAAGCACCTAAAAATCCATGTGTACATACCAACTGTTGCAAATGGAAAATTCACTTGGCCTCCTATTTTCCTATTCCTTTTTCAGATGAAGTATTCTACATGCACATTCATTGTACCTGCCCTCCTGGAGAAGCACACGAGTTTGTGCTTCTCAAGGGACTCCAACTTAAGTGATGAAACTGCCTCCAAGGCCTTAGGACTTCATGGCCACCATGAGGTTGTCTCAGAACATTATAGTCCCAACTCATGTAGCAGGACATAATCTTTATCTGGTTCTCTCTGTGCACAAAAAGCACATGGTCTGGTGTTGGGGAAGATTGCTACACTACCTGTGTCACAGATTGACCATCACACAGTGAGGTTTAGGCTGACAGTCATAAAAACTACTGGGGGGGGGGCAGAGTGGATGGCTCCCACCCAGAGGCTGATGGATTCCTGATGACTGTTAGGGAGTTTCTTCTTGACAAATTTTGTGCTCCTGTCAAACTGTGGTCAATATATGGAACAGAAATTTGACCTGGGTGGCTGACACTATCACTGCATGATACTCTTTTGCAGAATTGGGAAAGCTCCATGTAGGAGCTTGAAATGATGAAACACTTTGGTGGACACCACAAATGGAGGAAAACTCTATTTAAATTCAACAATACACAAGCGAAAGCATGCTGTGCTTCTTCTAGGACAGTGATGGTGGCAAAGCAAATTCATTTATCTGCAGCCATCAGTCTGCCCGGCAATGTTTTTCTGTATTGTGAGGGGACTTGTATTTTAAGCCTCAAAGGATGTTGACACAGAAGATCTGTGAGCTGTAACTCCCTTGCTAAATATTGGGAGGATAAAATCACTCACATCTGTTGCAACACTGTCCTCCGCATTTACAACCATGTCAGTCTCAGGATGAACGTGATCACCTTTGCTTTGCTCAACTTCAGTTCGCGAGGCCTGATAAAGCAGACAAGCTGCTCAGAAGTGTGTGGCCCACCACATCTAGATGTGATCCTCATGGCTTGCAATCTTGTTGCAATGGGCTGACCAAATGAGACCAGGTAGTTACAGAGATGTGAAATTTTGAAGCCACGGATAAAATGTCTCTCCCCCCCCGCCAACCCCCCCCAACAGAAATTTTTGGGAAACCTGAAATATACATAATACTTAATTTCCTATCAAACTGAAACTACTTTTACTGATTTATCAATAAGAATTACAATCTCTGTAGCTTTGTGAGCATATACAATTGTGCTATTTTTCATATTTATGGAATTTAGAAGCATGAATACCTCCATTTTCTGTAATAAAAATTGCAAGTATAGCCACTACTCGAGAAAGAGTTGCTAACTGCCGCATTCTGTGCTACCATAGCACATGTATCCTTAATTTCTGCCATTTGAGAGCTAGGAAAAACTAAATATTAAAGGCAGAAAACAAATTCTATAGTAAATAAAAGAGTATTATTTGGACAAAAACGCTCACATAGGATCCCAATAGGTAGGACTAGCAGCATGTTTGAATATTAAGCAAAACTTTATAACACTGAAAACACCAAACTCTTTAACGATGTATAATTATTAAGCACAAAGCATATTGAATATTGCCAAAATTATTTACATTTAAACAAAGAACCTTGAAAATATTGTACACTACAGTATACGGGGTTCTTTTTCAGTGCTCCCCAGAAGTCCTCACACTTTTTCATCTTGCATTCTACAGTTAAGGACACACCTGCTCATCAATATCCGATTTTGATGTATTTATTTCCTTCGCTATGTTTCCCCCCTGAATTAAACCAAAACAAATGGCAACCTAAGCCTGTTATTCCTGTTTGGTCCTTGTATCTGTTAAATAAAAAGGTTTTTCTCATAAAAAAGAAGTATTTCATAGGAGGTTTTCCCCATTGTTACTCCAAATTGCCCAGTTTTTTTTCATTCGAAAAACTGCAAGAATCCTCAGACTTTTTCATGCTATGTATTTTGAATGTGAAAAGCCTTGTGGTATAGGAAGCCTTTTTACTCACTGTAAAAGAAAATACTTCATAAGAGTTTCTTTCCAGCTCTCCTCTTTCCTATTTTTCCATTAGAAAACCTTAAAAAAGGCCTTGGGGGGTGCACAGACACAATTTCCCTAATTTTTCTGTTGTTTTCCCAAAGGCATCACATCTCCAGGTGGTTATAAATGCCTCATTTAAGAATGGATACTTCCAATTGCTTTGAAAGATGTGATTGAGAACACCCTCCCAAAAATGCAAATGTGGATTCAACCAGTTTAAACAACTACTGGATAATGTCCATTCTCAAACAAGGTGCTTAAGTGTGATAGCCACACAACCTAACATTAAGAACACAAGAACAAAAGAGAAGACAGTGATGGATCAGGCCAATGGCCCATCCAGTCCAACACTCTGTCACACAGTGGCCAAAAGTACCAGGTGCCATCAGGAGGTCCAGCAGTAGGGCCAGGACATTAGAAGCTCTCCCACTGTTGCCCCCCCCCCCAAGCACCAAGAATACAGAGCATCACTTGCCCCAGACTGAGAGTTCCTATCTATACCTTGTGGCTAATAGCCA